GAGTTTTTCTGTGATCTGGTTTCCAGGAACGTTCCCGTGCTTCAGCCTCTTAGTTCCGCTCTGTTTGCTGTTTTAAAGGAAAACTTTGGACTGGAGCGGACCGAGGTCCGGGACAACGGCTGCGGCATCAAAGCCGCGGACGCTCCGGTGATGGCCGTCCGACATTTCACCTCCAAGATCTGCAGCCATGAAGACCTGGAGCGTCTGGAGAGCTACGGCTTCCGGGGCGAGGCACTGGGCTCCATCTGCGCCGTGGCTGAGGTCAGTTTCGATGAATCGTCGGCCCGTCTGCGGCGGCCAGGGCTTCTTAAAGTGCAGCAGTGATCAAATGTAAACCGTGTTGGACTGATGGCAGCTCAGCTGTTCTTGGTTCTGTTTCCTCCTCAGGTTTCCGTCACCACGAAGACCCAGGAGGATGACATCAGCACTCAGTACACCCTGGACCACACTGGGAGGGTGGTCTCTCAGAGGCCGTCCCACCTGGGTCAAGGCAGGTCACCCATGATCGTCTGATGGTTCCGGACGCTGTGGCGGCGCCGCAGAGCTGACCTCTGCTCTGTTGTTCTGCAGGAACGTCGGTGAGCGTGACGAAGCTCTTTAAGAACCTCCCGGTCAGACGGCAGTTCTACTCGTCCACTAAGAAGTGTAAGGAGGAGCTGAAGAAGGTCCAGGACCTGCTGATGGCCTACGCCCTCATAAAGCCCGAGCTCAGGCTGATGCTGGTGCATAACAAGGTCCGTACCAGGCAGCCATCTTGGATTTACTCTCAGTCTACAGGACCAAAACTATTATTAGCCTTAGTCGCATTTTAGTCATTACCACATGCGATAGTTTTAGTCGACTAAAACTTAAAAAGGTTTTAGTCTAGTTTTAGTCTTGGAAAAAAAAAGTGAAGCTTTAAAATTTGGAATAAAAACCAGATTCTTTCCCAGCCTGCAGCTCTATCCTAGATGCTACACAGCTGGGTATAGAATGCTGCTGTTGGGTGGGAAACTTTGATTTATAGAATTCAAATCAACTATTTTATGAATTAATGCTCTACTTTATAAAAAAGTGTCTCAGAGAAGCTGTGAAAATAGCACATCTAGTTCAACACATCTTATTGGTTAATATAGCAGACAGACAAGCTGACAAAATGTCCAATAAAGGAATGATTTTAGACATCCAGGGTTTACATCCTGAAGCAAACACTCCTGATCTACTATGAATTATGCATTAAACATAGATCTATAAAATCTGCATTACTCCAAAGAAGCAAAGAACAAAAACTTTGGTCATTTTGGTTTACCTCTAAGGATTTTCCCCTTGGTTAAACGCTGCAACAATTAATCAGATTAATCGATTCTACAAATAATCCTGAACTAATTTAGTAATAGATTAATCGTAAACTTGAGTCTGTAGCTGACAGAGCGACTCAGAGCAGGATTTATACCCAGAGTGGAAAAAATATAGAAATATTTTGCATTTAAGATAAAAAAGACGTTTTCATCTGTCAAGCTGCTCTATCCAGAACTCGTCAAGTGGAAAAGTTTTAGTTGCACCTGGTTTGGTTTCACAAAAAATCTTCTTCAAGGAACTTTTGTATGGAGGACCAACTCTGCCATATTTAAAATTAAATACAGAAATACATAAATGCTCATTAAATCAATAAGCATACAATTAATTGCCACCAAAAATACAATAAACAAATAATGTAGGTAGAAATTAAATTATACAGTGAGACATAAATGTATATAACTCTTTTAATCAGCTTCTTTATTTACGGTATTTAATATTTACCTTATTTTTTTGCCTTTTATAATCTTCAACTTTATTTTTTAAGTATTTATTTATGTGCATGTTATAATATTTTTGTCTGTTTTATTCTTCCTTGGTATTTCTTTACCAAAGTTATTTTTTCACCGCTATTTATTTCTGCCTGCCCTTTTTACATTTCTGTCTGCATTTCTGCCTCATTATGCAAATGAGGAGGGGGCGTGTCCTAGAGAGTCATCGAGCCGTCGATTTTATTAATCAATCCCATTTTCTTTAAAAAAAAATCAGAACTTTTAAGATAAGATAACTTTTACTGATCAAGTATTTTAAACTAATTCAATAAAGAAAAAACAATTAATTCTAATAATGGAATCTGTCAGTTGAAGCATTTCTCCATCCCCACCACTAGGTGTCCTCATTGCACCTTCAGACTGAGCTCCAGCAGCAGAGTTAGAAACTCAGCTGGACGGTTGATCAGTGAGTGAAGCTCTGATAGAAAGTTTATTGGAGGGGAAATAAAAACGTACATCAGCAGCTCTGACTGAAGCTTTCTGCAGCAGCTAGTTTTCTGTTTCATTTCTTCTGCTCTTCATGACCCCAAACCTCCCTGGTTTATAGATATTGAAACCTACCTCATGGTAATTAAGGCTAAATATTCACAAAAAGAAACAAAATTTTCCACTAAAAACTTAGAAAAATTCTGGAAAGGAAAAAAAAAAAACGCCATCTGAAAGAAAATTTCATTCTGGCTGATTTACTCTAAACGAACTGATTCGACCAATCAGACGCGTCTGGTTTTGGTACCGTCTTTTCATTTTATAGAGCTGTGAATGTAGATGCCGCCTGCTGTGGCGCTCCTGGAGCGTTCCTGTTTGGTGCAGCAGGTCATCCAGCCGTGGCGGTGTGTCCGCTGATCTGTTCACAGACGTGTCAGGGAGGATCTGTTTCCAGGCTCCAAACTGCGTCCCATCAGGTCCAGCAGCGGTTCCTCCTCAGGCTGCTGATGTTTTCTCATGGAGGCGTTTGTTTCCGCAGGCGGTGCTTTGGCAGAAGGCCCGGGCGGCCGACCTGAGGAGCGCCCTGGTTGCTACGCTGGGGTCCGGCGCCGTCGCTAACCTGCTGCCATGCCACCAGGAACAGCCAGAGGTCAGTTTAAACGGGTACATTGGGTTTCATTCATCAGGC